ACACTTCCAGTAGCTTCCACTCATTATACTCCCATGGAATATAGTCTCTTATTCTGTTTCCACGGGATATTAAATCCTTACTACACTTCCAGTAGCTTCCACTCATTATACTCCCATGGAATATAAACTCTTATTCTGTTTCCACGGGATATTAAATCCTTACTACACTTCCAGTAGCTTCCACTCATTATACTCCCATGGAATATAAACTCTTATTCGGTTTCCACGGGATACTAAATCCTTACTACACTTCCAGTAAATACATTCTACACATACACCTGCAAAAAATGACTACCACTAAGAAATAGTGAATTCAGTTCTTCTGTAGAACATATCGACCCTTAGTTTTGATGATCTTATAGAGAAATAAAACAAAAAATACGATTTTACCAATTTAATTGTATTCATAGAATATTAGCTTCCATGAGTCGTTCAATTTACCTGTAATAATAATAATAACAGATTCCTACCCTGTCCATATTTGTGGAGTAGTGACTGCCAGTTATCCTGGATACTTTCATGAAATATATATATATATATATATATATCCAGTTAAGTTTAAAGTAATAACTAAATCCAAAAGGATACACGTCATAAATACATCTGAAGAAGTAAGAGCTTCACGCCCTACTAACAGCTTCTCCACGTGCAAACATGTTGGCTTCCGCAGTGTGACGTGATTTATTTATACGCTCATGTGGTGTGTGAGGGAGGGGGGGGGCGATTTTGAATACAGAAATGAGAAATTAATTGCTTTCATAGGAACAAAGAAAACGGGCTAGATTTAAATAAAATACAAAAATCATCTGAAGACATTAGTATTAATTTTGTGTGAATCAGTTAATTTCCTTTATATTTCACAGATGGCGCCAGCTATCAAACATGTGCTGTAAATTACTACTTCAGCCATTTCAGATATTTTCCGTACCGTACAAAAACTTATCATCCAAATCTTTTTCTCTTCCTGCACTTAACATCAGTTTTACAGCCACAAAATGATTTTAAGAACACGCAGCTGTACAAGCTTTAACGTGAATATAGACTATGATTTTAATTTTACATCTTTAGCATCCAAGACAAGTAGCACTTCTTCAACTTCCCGAATTTTCATATCATAGGCTTACAATTGTACATTGTAAAGGTTTAAAATGATCTTACACCATTACCTTTTCACATTAATATTGTTCACAAAAATAAGCTCCAGTAGTGATAATATAATATGAAGCTGTAGCTAAAGGGTTCATTTCGCTGTTAACACAAATTATAAATACTACAAGTAGTTTAAGTATGAATCACTGGATACATTTTCTGTCTTCTGTGCTTTCTTAGAGCATTTTTACTAGCGATAACACCCACTATAATTACTTGTAACACTCCTAATTTGATTTTAGCTGCCTGGCCAGATGTATTTCTAGTGTCTCGAACTGCGTTTTGTTTTTACCTTAAGTGGAAGCTCGCGGGATGTTAATAATAATATCTTCTATTAAAATAATACTTAGTTTTTGTCTGTCCTGAAAATGCGCGCGCACCTTACTATTTAAATACGCATGCACGCGCACTTCATTTCAACGAATGTAAATATACTTTAGTAGACATTTTGTACAAGAAGGCATTAAATGTTTATCAAAGTTTTTTAAAAGGTCTAGCACCAGGTCGTAGAATAGCATTATAAGTTTATTTACTGATAGTAACAAGTACGGTAAAGTTTAGCCCTCGTACATGAGTTATAGGGTTAATTTATCTCTTTATCGAATACAGGTCATATTTAATAAAAGCTTAACTAATGTTAGGCCTCCGACAAGTGGACTTATAGATTTCGGCGTCTGCTATTAGAAATATTTTGTATTATTTTAGGCCTACGACAAGTGGACTTAGATTTCGGCGTCTGCTATTAGAAATATTTTGTATTATTCAAGAAATAACGTATTTAAAGAAGTACTGTTGCAATAAAGATATTTATTTGATCACAAATGTTTTGTGGGTCTCTGCCGGTTTAAGATAAAATGAAAGACTTGCAGTTATTCTTAGCTTCCATTAAAACTTCTGTATACGGTGACTGGTAGTTTGCTTTTCTAGACTCATTACTACAGACAATTGTGTTGATAAAATTCTATGAACAATATATTCCTAATATTAATACTAGAAATAGACGACCTTATAACACCAAAATGTTTAATTAAATAAAAACAACATTTTGGTGTTATAAGGTCGTTTATTTCTAGTATTAATATGTCTTCTATACACCAATATGCACTACAGAAATTAAGTAATATATTCCTAATATTCTTTATATTTAAAACTGAAATTCTTACCTTTATGGAGTCTGTCTTTTCTCTCTCTACTTCGAACTTTGAAACTTCAGCTTGTGATTCTGGCAAACCTTCAGCAAAGTGGACTGTCTCAAAACATTCTCCATTTTTCTTGGACCAATAACCGCTATCACATTCTTTAGTATTTACGTAACCACAGAAACCATTAAGATGTTTTTCAATGTTTTTCTTGGAGACGATGGAACTTCCATTCAAGTTCTGTTCCACAACGTTTTCACCTTCAATACAGCTTGACGAGGGCTCAGAATGACCATCACGTTCTTCACTACCGGTGCTACCCTTGCAGTTTTCACTACTAGTACTACTCTCGTCAAACGTGACGTTAGTCTGAAAATACTTAGAACTCTCGCCTTTTACAAAGTAACCATATTTTTGATCTTCTACCGTAGACCCTTTTGAGTTGTATTCCACGGGACAGTCGATATCCCGACAACCTTCTATACTTGGTATTGGGGTATCTCTAAAATCTTCTAAAGAATCCTTTCGAATTTCATCGAAAACAAACTGCTGACTGTTAAGTTGCCAAATATCAGGTTCTTTTGACTCTTTGCAATCTTTACTCAACGTTTCCCAGTGATCACCGTAATTTGTCACCACAATTGTACAGTCTTTTCCTATCACATTAATTTTTTCTGGTTCCTGTGGATGAACTTGGCGAGTGTCCCGGACAGTCCTTGGAGGACGTGTCGTTTCTCTTGGGATATTCGATAAATCACGACTGCCATCTAGTGTTGATTTATTTTTGTTCTTTCTCCCGTTTCTGTAATACAAGATTAAATGACAGTACTGTAACTAGTTTCATTACATAAGAACACCAGTGAACAAGACGATACGCTACAATTTAATGATCGGCACTTATTATGTTTGGTATTAAAATGGAACTTAAATCAATGACGTCCATGAATTTGTTGTGTTCTTCACTGTTACAGAATTGTACAACTACATAATCTTTATTTGGAAGATTGTCTTCAGATTACTTATCACTTAACTCTTCCCATTACAAGATTTAAAACTAGCACACAAATCTAAAAGTTGCAATAACTTACTTATCAGTGATATATGTACTTCTGAAATAGTAATCAGCCTGAAAATGATTAGTTCTGGCTGACGTTTCAGTATTCCTCCAACTGCCTTCAAAGGGCAATTTTGCTAAAACGCCATCCAAATTTTAATCTATTTCATTCAGTAGTACACAAACATAAAACAACAGATATCTTTGAAAGCTATTAAATTATTTACAATTGGACTGTTTTTGAGTTTTCTAGCGATGGTGGGAGAGGAGATTAAAACCTGAAGTGTTTTCGTTATGGTTTGTATTAATATTGAGAATTGCTTCGCTATACTGACTTTTCAACAAAGCATTGGTTACTAAATTTCTACATTTATTGATTTATTATGTTTCATATTTAAAAATGTACAGACTTGTATTTACTGTCACAAGAAACAACCGATACATTACTTCTGTAAGTATTGGAGGACAGATTGAAAAATTATCTACTGAACCTTACAAGTCACGTTTCAATAGTATCTTCTTATTCAACTCACGCTACTGAAATATCACTTCTGTCGTTTCGTTCCCACCACATAGAACGTTCTGCTTTACATGCGAACCTAGCGCCTAGAGAAACATCTGCTAAACGATCTACTGAAGGGGGGGGGGGGTATATAATAAAAGTCATAGTTTCAGAAAACATTAGCTTTTATAATCAAGTATTAAAAATTAAGTCTTGTACATTTCTTGAAATAATTCGAATCTTCACCGTAACTTGATGGCTATATAAACGCTCTCTGATGAATAATTAACTATATCTATTCAAAATGTAACCCCCGTGAAAAATTCAAAAGGAATAATTTGAAGTGTCAAAACGTGTGAGGTATTCTATCTTGAATTGTTTAGTTGTTGCACCATCTAGCGACATACGTGCGTGTACATATTATATACTCCCCCCCCACCCACACACACACAAATTTGTGGAACAATTTAAACATGCAACACGAAGAACAAATATTTAATTTAATACGTGCCAATCTTTATCGCATATAAAAAGCTGATTAGAAAGCTTGCTCGTGTTTAAAATTAGCCACTGCCTAGCATTTTCTCCCAAAAGGAAAGGAGTAAATTTTTATTTTACTTTTTGCTCACAACTGTTACGACGATGGCCACGATTTCTACATGTAGTCGTATGAAGTCTTAAAAACTGGTTTAAATTACAACTCTCAAAAATAATAACAGGTTTATATCCTGATAAACATGGTTGAATTCTCGAAAATGCTAATTGTTTTTATGTTATTGGAGTATGTTTTCCGTCTATTTTTCACAATCTATTATTTTTCTGATAGAACTGGCTCTAAATAGTACAAAAGTTCTGGCGTGTTTTCAGTTAAAACCATTTAAGTTATTTTATAATAAATAGGAAAAAAATTAAAATTTTAGCGGAAAGTAGGGATCGTTGGTTATTCGTAGAATTGTTACAAGAAGTGTTCAAAACAAAATAAATGCTGCAGTAAAAAGTATACAGACAAGTGATACTAGTTAGATAGATTTTAAAACGATGTTCAATCTTCAGATAATTTTTTAAGCTTCAGCAGATCACCTCTCATTTTCTCTAGAGGAAAGAAGTAGAAGTTAAGAAATTTTAATCTAACCATACAAAATAACTCTTCCGTCCCCAGATTAATACTACAGCTGCCTTTCTCTGAACCCTTTCCAATAAGTCGATATATTTTCTTAGACAAGGAAAGACCAAAACTGTAGACAGTATTCAAAGTGAGGACAAACTATTGTGATCTGTATAGGTATATGAAGCAGTCTAAATTTGCTAACCAAAGTATGGATTGAAAATCGTTTTAAAATATATCCAATTAGTATCACTTCCCTTATTTGTGTACTTTTTCTTGCAGCAATTGTTTTGTTTTGGATACTTTTAGCAATTCTACGAATAACCAATAACCAACGATCCCTACTTTGCTTTAAAATTTTAATTATTTTTCCTATTTATTTGTTCAGTTTTTATATGTCCATGGAATGGACACAACATCTATAAACTTTCAGTATAACTATATTCCTGGTAGTTATAACTTTTACAAGAATTAAAATCACAATAAAAAATCTATAAAATGTAATCTTTACTTTATCCTACAGATAAGTGTATAAAGCTGCCAAAGTTGGGATTAAATTATATTAATATGTAATTGTGGTTTTAATTCTTGTTTTATCACTTTTGTGGCAGGATCCCTACTTCATTTTAAAATTCATAGTTTTAATACTCTTGTTTGTTTACTTTTTATGTTATACCCGTATAAAGTATATACTTTACCTTTAGAAACTGTCGCATGTCTAGCCATCGATATGTATCGCCATCTGTTGGTTTGAATTGGATTTAAAAGATACTTAAGTACACGCATGATATGTTTACCATTTATAAAAAATCTGTATATACTTATCGGGGTATCAAAAACGGATACCCACAGTCTAGTCAAGCAAGCTGGAGAAATTTCGTAGCGATAGTCCGAGCCGTTTCCGGGCTAGCCCCGCTGACCTGATCAGGTAGGTAGGTAGTAGACGAAAAAGTTGCTGTTTTAGAAATTTTTTGAATTGTTATACCGGAAATGTCAGCCACCTTTTAAGTGTATTATTAGTATATATGTGCATAATATATCGTAACCAATACTTTGAATCGTCAGTTTTTTCGCTTAGGAATTAGATAATGTGGTTTTTCGATGTCTGAATTATTTGGAAACCTTGTCGATCCCTACTTAATAATATACAATTTGCAACCGTTGGTTCTTCACGGTTCTATCTATCATTAGCCGTTCTCTCGCCCACAATTATAAAACAAGTGTCTATAAAGATATTTGCGAACTAAGTCTCTTTAGTAAGTTGATATTAACATAACAGATGGACAACAAGAGCCCACCTGGTCCTTCATGGCTGTCCCCCGCACACCCACTTTTGAGGAAAAGTAAAATCATAATCCCTCTCTATGTTTATTCAGCAAGTTGTCGATTAAACTCTTGTAAAGTGCCGACGTACAATACTACCAAAGTCAACTCTTTCCATGAGCCAAACACCCTATTAGAAAAATAAAACTGTCTTTTCCAAATCCTAAACTTGTGGCCTCTTGTCTTCCAAATATGACAAATAAATCAGAGGCCTTTAACCAATCCATCCATCCTTTGGATAATCTTTTAAGCTTTAACAGATCACCGTTCATTTTTCCGAGAGAAAAGAAGTTAAGAGATTTTAATATATCCCTACAAGATAACCTATCCATCCCCAGATTCATGCTATAGCTGCCTTTCTCTGAACCCTTTCCAATATCGATATATTTACTTAGACAAGGAAAGACCAAAACTGTAGACAGTATTCGAATTGAGAACTAACTAATTATTTGTATTCAGATAAATATCGTTTCATTTGTGATCAATGTGTCTATAAATACACCCATAAAGTATTTTACAACTTTACTACTAACAGCAGAGCAACGCTTCAGTAACTTGAGTGACTTAACAACCAATATGCCAAGATTATTTTCTTCGGTCACGCTGTTGAATGGGTTTCCATCTATATTAAAGTATAACTCAAATACATTATCCTGCACTTACTACGATTAAAGACAATTTGCCAGATATTTATCCACCTTACCAATTAGTTCCAGGTCATTCTCAATACAGCTATAAATACTGGAGAGTTTAATGTCGTCTGCAAACTTTACTAAATTACTAGTTTTGTTCGTTTGTTGCTTTTGAATTGCGTGCAAAGCTACTCGAGTGGTATCTGCGCTAACCGTCCATAATTCTTGAAGCGTTAAACAACAAGAAATCCAAGAAGTTAGCACCACCCTCCGCCAGTTCTTCTCAGACCGAATAGTGGGACTTGACCGCAATTCTTACAATGCACCCACGATCTCAAAGTGCAGAGAGCGATTTTTTTTTTCGGTAAAGAGGCACGAACTAGGGAACCTGAGGTCCACAGTGCGGTAAACTAATTTACTAATTATGCCCCCTACTCGTATCATTAATGTAAATAATAAAAAGTAAAGTCCCAAGCACTGACCCCTAGAGCCCTATCTATCTTAACAGTGGTAAGAAGAACATGCAAAGGGGGGAGGAAGCTTGAAATATCTTGAGTTCAATGGTGGACACCGAAGGTGAGCAGTATTTCAGGGCGGTAGGAGTCCTGGCATGCTTTTCAGGATTTTTTGAAAATTAGAAGCTTTCTGGTGAATTCTTATATCCTTTGAATTTTAATCATTTTATGCATTTGACAGTAAATTAGCAAAATTCTATTAGTCACTTGAAAGTAAGTTTGCAAAAGTCTTAGTCATTTGACAGTAAGTTTGCAAAATTCTGTTAGTCATTTGACAGTAACTTTGCGAAACTCTGTTAGTCATTTGACAGTTCTGTGTGCTTCTCAGTTGTTCCATATTTCAAAATTGTGGAGCAACCCCGACAAACAGAGTTTATAAGTTCGTGCATATATAGCTTTTTCTGGTTAAATCAAACTTTTTTTTTTCGATCTGGTGGTTAGGACACTCGACTCCAAATCTGCGGGTCGCGGATTCGAATCTCCATCACTGAACATGCTCGCCCATTTTAGCCGTGGATGTTTTATAATGTAACGGTCAATCCCACTATTCATTGGTAAAGGAGTAGCCCAAGAGTTGGCGGTGGATGGTGTTGACTAGCTACGTTCCCTGTAGTTTATCACGACTAAATTAGGAACGGATAGCACAGATAGCCCTTGAGTTGTTTCGCACG